TCTTCACCTAGTGGCTACACGTACGCGTAAGCTCTATTGCCCTATTACACAACTATGCACATGATATACGAAGCAACATCGAGCGCTCTCCATGTCCTATATCCGAACATTTGTGAAGCAACGTACAAGCTTACACCCCCTGTATACCAACTCCACCCAATAACCTAGTAATTGAAGCGACTGTCACTAGCCTAGGAGAGGTAAAGTTTGAATGCTAGAAGCGATAATTGTATGCAGATCTTTATGAATTGAAAGCGTCATTACGAACCCCTGGCTCGCTGATTAAACCCACGGATCCTTCATTTAGTGCAGTATGTGATGCAAAAAAATGTATACGATAACTACAATGCCATGAATTATGGGGCGAACATAAAATAATATTGAAAAGCTGTTGTCGCGTTGTCTGGGAGCCGCGTCGCGCAAATTATATCTAACATTCTATGTGTTAATCCGCAAAAGATATTTCAGCAATTATATACTCGCCACAGCGTTCAAATAGACAACAGAATATGTTATTCGTTAAAAAAATACTGGTATTACATGTTATTCCATAAAATTAAGGGTCATGTACTACCATTTTTACATTAAGCGGTTAATTTTAAGGGGACAGATAGAAAAAAATCGACTTCAATTAAATGTAAATATAAAATATTTTTATATTTATATATCCGGTTATTTGCGTTTAATTAATTTAGAAAAAGTAATAAATAATTTGAAGCCGATCGAAAGTTATAAATATATAAAGATTATTATTGAATACATTAATTAATAATTATATTTACAAATCACAGTTCGTATGAATAACACAGCGCATGCGTCAGGATTCATGCAATATGACAAAATTGGAACATGCAGGTTTACACTGACCTAATAATTTCAAACGATTACAAAACAAATGCAAAACAATATATAAAAAATCGCTAATAATATAATAAAATTATATTATACATATTATACATGTTTTGAAAGTATAAGGTCAGCGTAAGACAAGACAAGAGTTAATGGGACAATAGAGACAGAATGGATAAAGTTGTAGGTAGATAGAGTAATTAACAGTTGAACATAAAAACAAAAAAAAATCAACATAAACATAGTTAACAAGAGACGTGAGTGAAACGAAACAGGCTTCCTTCACAAATTTTATCAATTCTTACAGCTTGATCGGTTGATGTCTTGCTGTAGGGGACCGGTATCAAGCGTTCTTGTAACTCGCCACCTATGACCTTCCGTGTGCAATGGGGTATTCATGGAAAAGAAAATAAAAACGAGAACATGAAGTAAAGAGTCACGACACGAAGAGAGAAATTGGGACTACGGGCAGGTGCCCGCTTCTATAGGAATAGATACTGAACATAGATATACATATCTGCGGTGCTTGACATCGAACGCGCTTCTAAACGTATCTAAATATAAACATTATAATCATAATATATAATTTATATATTATATTGTATAAGTATAACATATATAATACCGAATCTTAAGTTATATTTATTGTCTTTAAATAGAATTTAGAAAAGCGTCCGATACAATAGCAGTGGAAGTATCATCACGAACAAGTGTATATCAGAAAGTATAGAAGTAATACTGGGGACTGACGAAGCAGTGCGCCTCGCGAAGCGATGAATACATTATAGGAAGAAGATATATATAAATACAGAGTAAAATAAAATAATACATAACGCAGGGTTCGTCCTATTTATTACCTTAAGAAGCACATTCATGGGTTGTGCACTTAAAACTATTCTTTATTTAATTTATACACTTTCCATCCAGGACTCCGTTACATTGTTTGATAAACGTAAACTTATATAAACAATAATAACATAAAGAACATAAAATAATCATTAAACACTGATACATTGAACATTTGCGTCGTTCCTATTCGACATTGGTAGTTGAGAGCTCCGTGAAGCGTGGTACATCAATATCAATGTATTGTTTAAATTCTCGTTGAAGGAAACAGTTGTTTTAGTGCTTGTGTTTGTGTTTGGGTGCGTTGAGCACGGCACCCGTGTGTTTGTTGAGTTTATGTTATCTCCATGCCAACTATTATTATATGATCTAGTGAAGCACACACAATTGGTTTGCCGTCGTCGCTCACATACCAGATATCAATTCGACGATGTAAATCGACCACAGTCGCTAAATATAAGCTACATTCTAACAACTATATACAAAAGCATATATGGACATTGTGAATTCGCAAATAAACATGTTTGAGATACCTACAACTATTGGATTTGGTACCCTAGAGGTGTGGAACTATTTACATGTCATATGGCACTAAAAAGATAAGCGAGCGCAGTCTAACAAATTGCTCAGTCAACGCATACACGACTTTGATGCGATAGACAAACGGGTGTGTATGCAATGACGTCGATTAGTTTCATCTAGTTTGGTGATGCTACTTATCTACAGTACACTAGCGTGTAAGCGCTAAGCGAGTCTAACATCGATCTAGACCGTACGACATATAGGGCCCATGTCGGCCACGGGCCGCCAACAACAAACATTTGGACCAACATCGATACAACATCAGTTCCCATGATGGCCAGTTACCTTAATATGCAGCGCTCCGCAACGTGGCACAGTTGGGTGAAATGAAAGTTACTTTGGAGTATAGATACTTTATTACTAAACTTTAAGAGACAAGAAGCGTTAGAAATAACCAATTAACAGACAGTACCAGTTCAGGTAGGTAAGTATAGCAGGAAATCATGCTTCACTATTTAGTCAGTGATATATAATTCCACTATTCGGCGTGTGAAAATTCACTATTAAGCGTATTTACGTCTTTTAAAGAAAAATAATTTTACATCTAATTTTGTTTTTAAGGTACACCAAGACACGATATTAATTTATATTTTAATATAATATGCTATTATATTATATTTAAATCTTAACATTCATGTAGCAGGCAACGATTTAAACACTACACGAAGTGCGTTAGACGATGTTTTATTAAGAATTAATACACAGCAATAATTATACTTCAGCTATTATACTTAACACATAAACATATTATGTTCACTAATATCCCACCGTACATATCGACGGATAGTTAAATTTGCTTGACATCCGATACCTTGGATAAGAAAAGAAAAAAGAATGATAAAGAAATAAGAATAGGAAAGTATGGAAGACCAGAGAGTTATAGAGCATTGTGTATAGTGTAAGAAGGTCACAGTGGCGCACCGTGGTAAGGGGGTACTATACTGTTCACGAGTAATACTCAACTGGCGCGTGTACATACCCTTACCACGGCACTTGAAATAAGTAGCTAAGGTATCTTGCTTATCGCTTTCGTTGCTGATTCAACCATTTTATATCTCCATGCATTCGGCAGTTCCTATTTAAACCTAGTGCTAACCACCAGCACTATGCATTCAAGTTTGCAGGTTGCACTACTGTTTGCTATAATCTGTAATCTATAAAGGAAATCAAATGAAACAAAATAGAATTAAGAATTAGCAGGTCGTGTGTCGGTTGTAAATGTTGACATACAAGGATCGACTGCACACACTACGGGTAGGTACAATACAGATATAAAGGGGCCACACAACTAGCTTCGAGCCGCTATCAAAACACATAACTAACACTTATACATGGTCAGTTCATGGTATCGACACACATCTAAATAATGGCATTCTTTTAAATACAACTAAAAACAGAAATAAACCGATAACAAGCAAATTTAAATATCATCCTAGATTAAAAACGTTTATAAAAGCACTTGAGTAGCACAAATTGTGAATATGTTAATTTATTTCTTTATATAAAAAATGGCACATGTTTTTTTCTCGTATTATGTATTTTATACTTTAGTATAATAAATATAAATATTATAATAATGTTAATTACAAAGGGATGAAACTATCATATATAAGATTTTATGTATTTACAGAAAAAGAATTTTACCAGATATTAATAATATGTTATATTATATATAAAGATTTTTTTAAATATTTTATACTGGTAAACAGATAAATCTACTAGAAATCTAAAATATCCCACCAAAATAAAGGTGCACCATAGTTACATACAAATCTATTCAATATATTTTGCAATTTCACTAATATTTGTCTTACACCTAATATTTAAGTAGACATTAATCTTACGATATTAACTGCATTTTACAGATTTAAGAAGTTTTAGAAACGTTTCGTTTAATTTTGAATAATTTAATAAGATTCTATGAATTATTTAGAATATAATTTATATTATTTTATTTTATTGGCAGTACTAATTTTGTTACGTTTGGACTATTCTGAAAACCTGCACAGCATCGTTGTTTTTGATTGTTCAAAGAGTTTCGCGACTCCTGTTTTTGTTTTGTTTTAATTTTTAACGTGTTTGTGTTTATTTAAGACAATTTTGGGACAATTTATTCATCGCTTTGATGCGATGTGGGGCTGAGCGCGGGCAGCGAGCTTCCGCCGGATTGCACGCTGATCCTCCGGTGCTCCGCCAAATAATTATTGACAAATATCCTGCGGCCGGCCAATATGTCCGCCTTTTGCTGCAAAATAACATGACGGCCGTGTCAGTCCGGGCTCGGGCGCGTCCCAAACTACTCTCATAGCCGTAACCAAACTGCTTTATTGCCAATTCTAAATAAAACGTGGGGTAGGAACATTTGGCATTCCAAAACCAAATATATATTGAATTTAACTACAGAATATACACTGCATAAGGATTGTAATAGAGATTATAAATAATTATATACTTATATACAATAAATAAAATTTGGCTTTAGAATCTCAAAACTACTAGAAGTGAAGTTGTAGCTGTAGAAAAAATCTATAAAAGAAAAGGATAATTTAGAAAGCAGTTTCGTTAGTAAACAGGTGCCTAACTTTAACTAGGATAGGGGGCATTCACACTAGCTGGGTCAGGGAAACGAGGGCATCCAATAGCAAAAACTATATAAAAAAGATAAACAGGAAGTAAATACCGTGTGGGCTAGGGTAGCTAGAACTACGTAAATATAGGATCCGGTATGTGAGCTACATCGCGCGTTGTATGCTTTGTAACTGTCGTCCACGCAAGTATTGTGTTATTAGATTCAGGTTCAAATGAAATATCATTGTTATTGAAATAAATTAGTTTATTTCAAGAGTTTATATGATTTATATTGGTAGTTTAGAGCCGGTTAAGTATGTTTTCTTTACAATAAATAAGACTCGTTTACATAAAACTCAAATAAATTATGAAACCAACTTAGTAAATAAGTACATACACAACCGAGTTAATGACATAAAACTAAGCGAAAGAAAAATGTAAAGCCGCATTTATTTAGTTTTAGTTTATAGTGATATATGATTTCTTATTAGGCTACTTTGGTGTAGTGGAGATTATACAGATACTTTTCATTTTTCAACGTCTACATATGTTTTATAATTAATAAATCGTCTTAAATACTATTATGTTAGAAGTTTGGTAAGTTTATATTATCTATAATATTGTATAAAGACTAAATATATTAAGAAACTCTAAAATAAAATTCGGATATAAAACTTTTATGCGAAAAACTGATAACATATAAAATATGAAAACTGTTTAACGCTAAACATTATCAGAATCTTTGTACCAAACATCTATTAAAAATAAATTAAAAAGAAAATATACAAATTGTGCATACTCACAGACATCTGTATACATGCAAAACACTGTAAATATAAGCACGAACACTCTCTATAAATGCCAAGCATAATAAAAAAAAGATTAAAAAAATATGTTTCGTACCAAAAATACACATTGTTATCTTCAATATATACTCAATACTTATACACTAACGAGGCGCCATTTTGTTGTGCACTCGTGCAAACAAAATGGCGTCTCAGAGCTCTCACCTTATAAAATGGTGGTCGTGAATTAAGACTGATTTATTGAACACAATTGTTGTAGAACCTATTTGCTTTATTAACAAGAACTTTTCAATGTGTCAAAGCGAGTATGTACCGAAGACTCAGTCGCTGCTCAGTCATCGTGCACTGACACGGATATCATGCTCTACACAATGACATGACTATATAATCACTCGTTATGGTGTACCTACTATGGTTGGCCTCGCCGGTCTCTTACGAATACTTACAAACGTTACTCCCTATGCGAGTCAGACCTAAACTTACCGTCAACATCTGAAATAGAGCGATTTTTCTAAAACTGGGCGGCCCCCACCATAACTATACGAGTGGCGAAAGAAAATGCTATGGAATTTGCTTGAAAATTTATTTATCAATATAAATAGTCCTTGTAACATTGGCAAAACCAAAGTAATTCAGATAATACATATTTAAGAGCTCTCGTTTGCTGATAAGCGTGAGGTGTCCCATTCATATTAAACTTTAGGCATCTGCATATACAATTCATAGATAGATTAACACGTTATAAGATAAAAATATTATAGTATCAGTAAACAATAGTTTTAGATCTAATTGTATCCCAGTTATTAAGTTTAGAAACGGGTTAAAAGTGGTCCCAAAATTTACTATGAAACAAAACACACTGGCTTCCGAGTATCTAAGATCTTTACAATAAGTAAATATATTTCGTAACAAACTACTTACACAAAAAGCTAATGAGATTGAAAATTTCAAAAGATCAGTAAAATTTCAAAGTCTAATGTTAAAAAGATATAATATTGGAAAAGGAGTTTCCCCTCATTTGTTTCATTAAATAGCTACCTATACAAAATATCACTGCTCCGATATACATAATAATAAGACGTCAAGAATCTCTAATTTATGTACAAATACGATCGTCTCTAAAATAGCAGTGTTTGATATACTGGCAGATAGATTCGTATGATCTACGTACACATGTTCATATCGATAGGGTCCCGATGGTGACGTCACCCGCCCGCAGGCGAGGACGCGGCTCGGAACGATAACGTGAAACATTAACAGAGTACAAACATGAATTGAAAACGTTCAGGCGCGCCGCCGAACGGAGGCGCGTAACAGGCACAATTCGGTTTAGGAATCTAACGTCGGGCCTCTAACGTCCTCTATTAGTAGTTTATTGCTATCGACTACCTACGGCTAAAATTTTTCAACAATTAATAAAACCTTATACTAAATTAAGAATCGTGAAGCGGTCGAGAACCGAGCGGAGCCGAAACGCGGAGCGAGATTACGCGGAGATCGCTGCGTTAAGTACGTCCCGTGACCGCCGTCGCAAATAAACAGAACTAAAGAAAAACAACGGTTCGTCGGGTGCGGGTGTCGGTGTGTGTGTGCCGGCGGTGGCGCGTGGCGGAGGTTAGAATATGGTGGTCTCAGTGCGGGCGGCGGCGGGCACGTCCTCCGCGTCGATGTACGCGATGTCGGCGGGCGGCGCGCGCAGCCGCGACCGCAGCCCGGCCGCCGAGTGCGCCGACAGCCGCTCCTCCAGGTCCTCCAGCGTCGACTTGAACGCGCGCACCACGCGCAGCTGCAACAACAACCCTCCGCGCTCACGACCGCCCATCCTCCCACCTCTCGCCTCCCATCCTCCCATCCTCCCGCCTCCCGGTCCCATCCTCCGCACATCGCGACGCTGCGACCGACCGCGCGACCCGGCCCGCGCGACACGCCCGCGTACTCGCCACCGATATCTCGTCAGAGTGTGGTGTGGATGTTCTTATAGCCGATACTGTCTGTATTCAGAGTTCGAGACGTCGCCGATCGTGGGGCTAAACATGCAGCTATCGAGACCTGTGCGATTGACTCTACGCTACCGAGTGATGACCGGTGAGTGGGTGGCCATGCCAGAGCTAAGTACTAGGTGCTAGCGGGACTGCTGACGTGTACTACGCGGCAAACCTAGGGGCTAACGGGACAAAGCGGGGACGTCAGGGTGGCGACATCGATGCTCGGTCGAGCCGGAGACGGGTGCTCGAGACGGTGCTATGGAGACAGATGAACAAACAACACGGAGAATGTTCAGACAGGGCGATGTACAAACGAAAGACGTGGGATGCAACAGACGCACAAACAGAACTATATATGCTTGCGGCGAGTGAACGACACTTGTTTCATTTTCATAATAATACAATTTGTTTTTTAAATGTGTGTATGAGAACATTAACATATGTAATCATGTAGATATATAACAATCTGTGTATTAATAATATTTCCTTTTCCTATAATGTACAAGAAAAACTAATATTCTTTAGACAAAACCAATATAAATAATAATATTTCTTGTTCGTCGAATTAATCAATATAGGGATTAAAAAACCCCCTATGTGAGTAAAAAATCGAAAATGTATTACATTTATTTATATTTAGAACGCAGTGTCGTCGCACTCCCCGCTCGCGGATAGGTGCCCGGGGGTCTACGCTAGGCTAGGCTCGGGCGGGCTAGGGCGAGCTAGGGCCGGCTGGGACGGGCTAGGGCGAGCTAGGGCGGGCTAGGGCGGGCTAGGGCTAGGGGTGCGGGTACCGTCAGCGTCCGTCGCACGCAGCGCGCCGCCAGCCGCCGCGGCCGCCACTACACCTCGGTCTCGAGCACGGGCCGTTGCTGCCAACAACATCTGTCAACGCGCGGCTCGACGCCCCATTCGACACCGTCCTACGCGGATACGCCCTAGCTTTACAACTGCACGGGGGCCAGATATGGGACGGTGCGTGTCGTGTGTATCGTCGATATACGTATACACGGTATGTGATAGTGTAATATATATATATATAAATATAGATTATAAATACGTATACGTGAAAAGATGTAAATGGTATAGGTCTAAAAGGTAGCTTTTTATGGTAGACTGCACAACATAATGGATACAAGTGTGTGTAAAAGTGTAAAATGAAAAAATAAGATTCAATTTGAAGCCAACTGTTTGCATTTGTTTACCTCATATAAATTATATAATACATAAAATTTATACATTGAGAATTACTTTAAGAATAGAATAACAGTCAGAATTAATTTGATTTTGCATAAATTTGATAAGAGCTATAACAGCCGATATAAAAAGCTGCTAACTGTTATTTCAGTAGTATGTTATGTGTTTAAAAATTACTGAATGAATTATGTATATATTTAGTATTTATTTGTTAACTATATACAATATAACACAGTCATTAAAAAACACAATAATCTTAGAATATTAATTAAAATATTATACTGGATTTTAATTGATTGATTTGAATAGATATGAAAATTTTGAATTAACATAATTTACTTCAGTTATGAAATGAAAATATCCCAAAAGAATGTTTATGTAACGTGAGAATATTATTTAATAAAAAAATATATAATGTTGTGTTATATGTATATATATCAAAATTTGAATTACAATATAAAACATATAATTTATATAAAGTGTATAAGTGCAGTCGTATTGATATCTAATGAATATAAAGTTTATATATTATGAGTTAACATTGAATGAATAAAAACAGAGACCATATTGACTGCACAATTTTAAGTAGATAAAAATATTATATACATAATGAACACGTAAATATTTCTTATGTAAATGTAATTGTGTATGAGTGTAATTGTTATACAGGTGTTCAAATTTTGTCCCATATCTGTCCTAGCCACAAGCAGGCCAACACGGAAAAATAGACCCTTTATAAAAAAAAAAGAAATAAATGTGTGTATATGTCATTTGCTGCGTGTATGCGGCACTTGAGCGGCCGGTGTCACGTGATACGAATATGACTTGGAAGAGTGCCAATCGAATGAAAGAAAACAAACCAAACATAATGAAAATAAATAGAACAGGTTCGATCGAGGCCTTAACTACCCTGAAGATAGACTGCCGACTACACTACGCCTATACAACGCAGGGAGATGTCTCCTACAAATGCTTGGGTTGGGGACAGGGTGCACTAGTATACCATCCTCACCGTAACACCTAATTTTATATGCCACAGTATAATGGCGTAATTTTTAAATATTTTTTTTTAATTAAAAAATAATAATATGTAATTTTAAATTTAGATTTATTCAAATTCCATATGCCTCTATGGTGGTGGCTCGCATTTAATCGGAGTTACATATACATGTGACATTAACAATAGGTACTTAGTCTAACAACTACCATGCCAAGTTATTATTTTTTATTAAAACATATAATTTAGGAGTCAAGGACGAACAATTTATGTTATATATTTTTTTTATTTTCCGACTCTACACGATTATGGAAATATTATCATTATATAATATTATATACTATTAAACTTTAAATATATTTGTATATAAAATAAAATTTGGGTTTAATGTTAAATATTTCCATAAATGTACAGTCAGACAAATGTTAGGAAGCTAAACAAAATAAATCGTTTAAAGTTAATTTCAGTTTTAATTATGGAAACACTTCGATTACGTTAGTTTCATCTATTTACTATACTTACCGATATAGCAGCGTCACCTACGAAGTACCACTATATACATACATTATACGGATACTACATCAAGCCTAACAAAACGCAAAATAACACAATGAAGGCTTTTAACTGCAAGGCATAGGCAAAACTACTTGAACACCCTTCGCTGACCAGTTTGACGCTTTCACCCACCTGAATGACAACACACCCCGACATAGCACGTTCTAAGGGGCATCATTCACATAACAAAACAATAAAAACAAAACAAAAACAAACAAAGGATAAAACACAAAACATCGACAGTAACACAACGGCAAAGGAATGAGACAGGTCCGAACGGACTACGGTCCAACTGTTAGTAATGCGAGCTCACTCGGCAGTCGGCATGCTCTCGCCACGTGTCTACAATATTGTTTTATTCTCTCAAGAAAAATCCACTCCACACTCAAATTAACGTTCATATGACAGCAGTAACTGAACACAATTCGGTAAAAAATTAAATTAAATTTAAAAACAATATATAATAGTGGAGAAATTAGAATACGAACATGTTACTGCTTACGTATCGGTAACGGCAATGTTAGGCGAACGTGTGCGTGCGGGCCGCGTCGTCGGCACCGCACTCAGAGCTGGGTAGCTTGGATAGTAGCGAGGATGTATCGGGTTGGCGTTTTACAAGCAAAAATAAAACACTAGTCCTCAAAATAAAACGTAAAAACAGACAAAAATAAAAACATAAGTAGTGAATAAAAAAAATCAAACAGTCAGTATGACTCAGAGTAAATAAAAGACAGAGAGAAAAAGAGATAGTCATATTCATACCGCGATGTAGTTTATGTATAGTGATATATTTATAACATACTAGGATAAGTCATAGTAACTGTTTGAAGGTTTTGAGGGATAAGTAACATCGTCACAGCCTACATAAAGAGCATGCCAATAGGGTAAGGGTGGGGCGGTACAGTCAACTCAGGTTTTATGAAGTAAAAGTAAAATAAACAAAACCGGGAAGCGTCAGACTGTATACGGTACTGCTGATCATGCACGGCAGTAACTCGCGATGTTCTAACTAGTGTTATACTAACGGAACTGTACCGGTTTCATGACAACGAAACGTCAGGCGGAAACAAATATATATACTATATTATATATACGATACATATACAAGTAGATAAGGTGAGACTGAAATAAGAGATAGATAAAGTTCAGTCATAGGAATGTCACTCGGAACAGTCAGTACTAAGAATTCTACTTGTCATTTCAATTTGAGTTTTAAATCATGTTAAATATAATACATTTTACAATATAGTCAACGGTTCGCGGCAAGCGTGATTGCGGTTACCGTTGTCACAGTAAAATATATATATTACACACAACTTAAAGTCGAAATTAAAATGGCACGCAGTTTGCAACTTCGGCACCGTGCTGTAAGTAGTGACTACCTATAATCGTAGAGATTTGTGTCATGAAACCAAGTACTAGAGAAATCAATGATAGTATCTCGAAATTAAAAATCTAGTAAGTATAGCGTTTGCTCGGTTGCCAATTTTGATTTGTTACTAATTAAGCTACACATAGTGCTCGTTTTTGATTGTAAAATTAGTGACCGAACAATAATTAAACTACGTTAAGTATGGGCCAAAAATAATATAGAGCGTCACTACTATTATTACTTTGTAAAGTGTTTCTCTGTGTAGGTATAAAATAATTAGAACGAGAACAGAAGTATAGGAGAACAAAATTAAAATACGAGACGTAAAAGAGATTAAAAGGTGGAAATAAAGAATGAAAAAGAAAAACAAAAAGTATGAAAACGTAGTTATATCGATAGTTTGATCCTTATCGAAATTATATTAGTGTATATATTTTTATTTATTTTTTATATCGAGTGATATCTCCGGCTTACAGTACCAACAAATCAAAATGTGTAATAAAAATGAATCAGCGTAATCTCTATACTTCTATGGCGATATAATTCTATATATGGATGCATAGTATAATTGAAAATGGTGGTATTATTCGTTTTGTATGCAAAAATAGTAAAAGTATATATATAAATGGACAATATATCGAACTTAGCGTTAGGATGCCCAAGGTATCCGCAGTGTTGACCTGTTGACTTTGCTGTATATATATTTATATATTAGCTGGAAACTAAAAACTTATCCCTCTTTCGTATTAAGCACGAACATGTTTCTGCCACTCCTATTTTTTTTATATATTCCATATTTGATTTTTATATTCCATATTTAAATTTTTATATTCACATTGTTACTGTATAAAATTTAGCATATATATTTAATATATAATTAAATTTATAGTTTAATTATATTTCAACTAGTAAACTTATACAGTAACAACAAACAAGATTCTTAAAAAATAAATCATCATGGTCTATTGGCAGCTGATTTAGTTTTGTTTCGTAGACAATACCCATGATGTCTATTGTAGGGAATAACTAACAGCCAATTGATTTATAATTTTAGTATTTTTTTAAATGACAAAATTGTACAAAATGTATGATTTTGAATATATTCTATTAACCTTGAAATTGGCCGTAAGTTAAAAAAAACTGCAAAGAATAATCGTTGTACAAAACAAAAACTTAATAATGTCTAACTATTAAACTTGAATTATACATTGTGAATATTAAATAAATATTTTATATTTAGCGATAATTGTTTACAGTTTCTTCTATATGCAAATCTGAGTCCAAAAAATATATATTTATTATATTTTAAGACTCACATTAAAAGTTTGGGACCCATTTTGTAATGAATAATCGACACCTTTACATATATAACAAATTCCCAACATTTAATTACCGCAAAACTACATTTTCCCAATTTTAGTCTATATAAAATATTACCACTAGTGTAATATTCTATATAGACTTAAGAGTACCCTTAAAGAGATAAAAAAAACAAATAGGGTTTCCGAAAAAGTCATACATGGACGAGACGATTCCAATAATACATATTTATTAAATCTTATTTTATAGTCAGTCTTTTTAATTATGTAAATTAATATATGTATATATATTATGTTTATGTAACAATTGTCTCATCCATGGATCTCGCTACCTCCCCGGTTGTAAAACCGGGATGGTAGCGAGTGGCAAGTGGCTAATTGGCGGTAGAACTCGCCAGCAGTTCCCGGGGGTTGTGGGGAGAATGAAGGGGTTTATGTACCTGCGTCTGCAGCCTGGTGAGTCCTCGGATCCAGAGGATCTGTCCAGCACGAGGCTTCTTGTCCAGGTCATTGTCGTAGTCGGGCCCCGGCTGGATTGTCTCTGGGTCCGGTTGGCCGCGGCCCCACCTGCGTACAACGTTATGACGATGTATTAGGGTTTTTTATGCAAAATACTAGGATGACCAGTGAAGAAATTAAACGAGTTATAAAATAACAGAACAAATTCTAAATCTTTGTCTTTACAGTATTCAATGTTATGTTCAATTACAATATGTCAAAGAAGCGACTCTTTGTGTTTCTACTAATAATATCTCGGCATTCAATATCTTTAGATTTATTAATAATGTATTGCATATGTTTTTTAATGGCTGTATGTGTCAGAATATAGAGAAAACAAAAAAAAAATCCTACTCGTTGCTGGAATTATTTTGGTTTGTTTTTTATTTATTAATCATAATGGAATAGTGTTGACGCTAAAGGATAAGCCCAACTAAGGGCACCAGCCGAGGATGATAAGATGTGGTCAGGTCGATTAACTCATGGTGGCCATCTGGTTATTGGTGTTTCCATCAATAACCGAACGTTAGTTAAAAATTTAAATTTAATGTATTGGACCTAAATCTAAGTTGGGGTAAATACTAAGTCCAGATGTAATCCCTAAACCTGTATTCTCTTTCAATACTCACGTGAGAGTCTTTGGTATTTTCCTAGTGGGCACGGTGGTGACGAGCTGGCCCCAAACGAGGGTACCGGCTCCGAAGAACAGACACCACAACCACTGGTCTATCGATAGCCCGGCCGTGCTGAACGCAATCCCGCCGAATTGGATTATGATTACCTGGAAATTGGCGGCATACACCAATACAATAGTTGTCTTCATATATATACAGCAAACATTCTTAGTAGTTCTTTATTGAGAGTATTTCTCAAAATGAACAAGTAAAATAAAGTATAACACGGTTTTTTAATGTAACTTGTAGACCTTTTTTTATGTCAGTACCATATACACTTTCATATCCATTTAGTAGAAAGTTATTAATTTGAAATAACAAACAGACAGTTAAATTTTATTTTAAATACGGTACCAATATAATAATAATAATTGTCAATCTAGACTTATTAATCTCTGAAAGTCCCGTCATAATCGGCTGATAGCTAATATTATAAGGAGTAACCTGGTTGGTTTTATTTTAATAAAATAAAAAATAATTCAATTCCATGTGGACGAAACAACACTAACAAGTTGTGAACAAAGAAGTTGTAACTTGTAACTTTTCTTACTCTTGAATTTCTTTTAAGTTTTAGCTTTAAAATTATATTCGGCTGGAGGTAACTTTGAATAATAACTGTCTGTAATAGACCTACATGAATATTGTACCGATTTAAGTTATAAAAAAAATCTAGAGAAGACCGGATACAGACCTGTGATAACGCCGTTCCAATCCATATAGAGTAGAAGATAGGGTTGGTGAAGAGACCCTGGAACACATTCCTCTGGCCGTGTATCTTTCGCGCGTTGATCTCGTTGAAGAGAGTCATCATTACGAAGGTATTGAAGATTATTGTGAAGTGCTGGGTCGGCTCCGCGCCCAGGGGCTGACCCCGACCCGACGGGATGTTCAGAAGGACATCACCTGGAATATTGATAGAATTAAGGTCTTTCTTGAACCCGAAATCTTTTATATTTGCAGGTAAAATATATGAGATAATAAAACCAAACAACTGATCTAAATAAAAATTAAATATTTATGACTGCTTCGGTGATCTAGCGGTTTACACACTACTTTACTTCCGATGGGCGCAGGTTCAATTCCTCGCATGATAGACATTGGTATTCATAAATATGATTGTTTGTATCGGTCTGAGTGTTTTCTATAGATATTACGTAAGTATTATAAAAAATGTATTTATGTATTTATGTTACTTGTCTAGTACCCCTAACAGAAACTCTGCTTATCTTGATGCTAGATGGCGCTGTGTAAATTGTTCAAGGATTATTACTTTGGCGGTTCAAAAACGACAAGTTTTGCACCATTTCCTCACCTTCAAAAGGTTGGTTCATTTTTACATACTACCAATATTTACTTGAATGAATAAGTGTTTTATTTTTATTATTTAAGAAATATATTTAAGCATATCTAAGAGTTGTTTAGTATGTATTATTTAAATATAAACTTTAAAAGTGTGATCGCTCATATAGTATATTCAATTACATTGTTTTCTGGCCCCTACAGGACAGGCCTAGTGTAGGAATCAGGTAAATACTAAAAAAACATTATAGTACACGCCTCTTATCATTAAAATATATAGTGAAACAGTTACTCACCAACAAACAGCAGCGCGAATATTATAAACAACTGGTATATGGCCTGTCCGAGGATGTTCTTCATCATGGTGCGACTGATTAGAGCTTTGGTCCGGCCGTATGGCTTCCGTTGGAGCAGATCTGGTGTTGGCATTTCGGTGGCGAGGGCGAGAGACGCTAGCGTGTCCATGATCAGATTCACCCATAACATTTGCACCGCCTGGTGGTGACGTGAGCATTAATTGGGGTAGAATAATAGTTTTTGTGTTCGATTTTTTGACGTTACAGTTAAGCAAGCTGCTTGATCAATTCTAATGTTGTCTAAATGAATGTCTTTAGATTTGTGACTTCTTGGTCTATTATTAATACTGTAAATCGGGTCTTAACATGAATAATTCTATGATCTTTACCTTCATCGATGATAATAATGTGTACTAAATATGACGTTTGAAATTCTAGAACAACTATAGAATCAATAAGAACAGTAAAATAAATATAGCGGACATGATGAGTCAATAAGTAAGTAATAAATTTTGTATAATTAACTATCAACTATGTAGCATATTGGTTAAGATAAAAAAAATCCGAAACTCCGAATACAAAACACATTAATACTTAAAATGATTATGTTTATATTGTAAAAAATATGCATGTAGTAAAAAAAATTCTTGACGATATTCTAATTTTATTAGTATTAACAGAGGCTATTAATTTTATTTGGTTTGTATATATATATCATACTCTTCTATAACCTAATCGTTAATTTTCTTTTGACGTAACTGTACCAGGTTATTCCCATAACTAAAATGTTTATCTTATAGCTTGTATATTGTGGAATAGACCATGACTGTATATATAGACGAACGTTATGTTGTAAACTCATATTTAAAACAGCCACAGTAGTTATTTCTTTATTTGAGATTGAAACAGTTTAACAGTGTTGTTAGTATTTAAGGACAGAAATATGAATAATAATAGCAAAACAAATACAGATCCGCGAGTTAAGAGATGTCCGAGTGAGATGAACCCTACGCGTACGCACCTTGAGCGGACTGTCCTGTATCGCGCACGCACCGATGAAGGCGACGATGACGGCAACCACGTTGACAGTCAATTGGAACTGGAGGAACTTTGCGATCGAGTCATACACGTTCCGACCCCACATTACAGCCTTTACGATCGACGAGAAATTGTCATCCGTTAGGATAATGTCGGAAGCTTCCTTCGCTACGTCCGTGCCGGCGATACCCTGGAACACATCATTATATACTGTTATTATTTTATATTTATTTACTGTATTAATATTAGCTGCCTTTACACAGGAGAATGTGCATGTAAATGTACTTAAAAATCATAAACGTGTTTTTAGAAAATAAAAATTGGTGGAAAAAGATATAACAAGAAATTGAAGGGACTTGAAACATTCGCGCCATCACAGTGAAAGAGTGGTGACAAAAAATAGTAAAATTCAATCATGATCATCATATTATGACCCTTATGGTAAACATCATGTGTTATCTTCTTGACTGCAAAGGTGTCACACTTCTGAATGCTGTAAATTCACTGCAAGATCTAATTTTTATGTAATTGGAAATGCAATCAAGCTGATATAAGCACATCGTTTTACTTTCCGATGGTCGTTCGATTCTTCGCACATTATTGTACTCATTCCCAACATTTTTAACAGTCTGGGTGTTTCCGGTATTATATTATGAATGTATTAACAAAAAATGATCTACGTATTTATATCAGTTGTCTAGTACCTATACCACAAGGTTTGCTTCGCTTGGGACTAGTGGCGCTGTGTGAAATGTCCAGAGTTAAAGTACGTTACTCACCATAGCAAATCCGACGTCGGCCTTCTTCAGCGCCGGCCCGTCGTTGGTCCCGTCGCCGGTGACAGCGACCACTTCACGCGTGTCGAACGCCTTCGATTCTATCATGCCCTTAACTAGTGTGTATTTGTCTGTTGGTGAGGAACGCGCTAACACACGTAACTTGGGCCACACCTTATCAAGTAGATGTTGTTGGACCTGCAAATATTTATTTATATTGAAATATTTGAAATGTATGTACAATTGACGAGCTTAATGCCATATGGAATTCTCTACCAGCTATCCATTGGGTGAAAACAGAGAGGATGGACAGATGTTTGTTACTTTTTCACGCAAAAACTACTGAATTGATTTGAATGAAACTTTACAATAACGCAGCTTATACATCAGAATAACACAGGCTATAAATTTCACGCAGGTGAAACTGCACTGTTACAGCTTTAAGCTGCACAGCTATTAATTGTCATAAATTCATCGTGCCGTAACAAGTGTCCTAACATTTTAATATGTCTATTTGAGATTAGTTAGGGATAAAAAAATAGCATACCTCGCCGTTGCTATCCCTAATCCGCCTGTTGAACTCTTTCCCTTCGAGTATGAGGAAGTCATCGGTAGGCTTGAGTATACCGCACTTGACAGCGATGGACCGCGCCGTGTTCACGTTGTCACCAGTGACCATACGGACTGTGATACCCGCTTTTTGGCACTTGCGGATGGCTTCCGGCACCTTAAGGATAATATTAAAAAAATAAAACACAACGTAATGACTGTTACCTCTGTTGGAGTAGTCAGAAATATGTCAATTACCGCGGTGACTGAAATACTTGAGCCGCGTACCGTTCGCTGGCTATATTTATATGAACTCATTAGTGTTAGATTCATAATCTGCATCATATAAATATAACCATTCATTGAAGGGGTTCTCAACTTTTTGCCACGAGAGTAGAATTACAACAAATATAAAAATCTTAAGATTCATGATTATAATAATAAATTCATATATATCTTTGTTATTATTGGGCAGATCAAATACGAGAACTTTGTAAATATAAACCAAAAGTTGGTCTCAATTTCAATTTCCATAACAATAAAAGAATAGATTATAATAATAAACAGTTTCGTACCTCTGGCCTGACAGGATCTTCAATTCCAACTACGCAGAGACAGGTCAGATTGTTCACAATGTTGTCTTCGTCGTCCCAATTTGGCTCTTGGTCTATGTGCACCTGTATAACAACATTAAGACTTTAGTTTTCTGATTATATTATATACATACCTATTATACCTGAGTTTATACTAATACTAACTTTGTTTCTGGTGTGTTGTTTATACACTCAGTCACACGTTGAGTGGAGCGTATTTATTCTTAAAAATTAAACTTTTACCGATCGGAATTTATTTGAATGGTAAACGATGAAGGCCCGAAGGTCGACGTTCAATGAAATTTTGGTCTCGATCGGTCAAGCCGTTCGGCGGAGTATCATTACAAAGAGTGCACATCTGATCTCTAAGATCGCTCCGCGTTTCTCGATAAATTAAGATGTACTTAAAATTAAGCCGATTTCGATAAACAATTTCACTGTTATATTTAAAACACAAATAAAAACATAAACTGACCTGGTTGATTTCAGCCTTCCCCGGCACGAAGTCTCTGAACGCCACCGAGATGGTTCGGAGTCCGTCGCAGGCCATAGGTTCGATTACTTGCCGCACCAGTCGGTCTTGCATGTCGCGGGTGAACTTCTCTAGCCGACCCTCGTGACCATAGATGAATGCACATCTGTACAGTTAGGTACACATTACACGGTTTGTAATAGTTAGGTTAATAAAAAAAATAGACTATATATTTTAGTACAGGATATTTTTTTTGTGCCTGGGATGGTAAAGAAATTGACACCTACATAAAAAAAGAAAAAAAATGTATTTAAATAGACCATAATATAAGGAGTGTATTTTCATATGCATATGTATGTATGTACGTATGTATGTATCTGTATTTTTTTTAGGTGACTGGAATGCAAAACTATCTAAAAAAGAAAATTTTTGTGTGGGCGAACCTTATCACTACGGGTATAAAAATAGATAACCTATACTCAGACCTACCGAGTATACATCTAAAATTTCATAATAATCGGTATAATAATAAACACGAGAGTTTTATATATTAGAAGAAAGATTGTAAACTTCACTGTACTTACTTCTTCAGGACAATTTCGGAAGCCCCCTTGGTATAGAGCCGGTAGCCGCCTTTGTACGGGATGACGGTGGACATGCTCTTCCTGACGCTGTTGAAGGTGTAGACCCTGGTGAAGGACTCCTCAGGGTGTCGCTCCCGGACACCATCGTAACTCTGGCCCAACGCGATCACGAACCCGAGTAGCGCGCATTCCGTCTTGTTGCCGACTTGCATTGGGGGACCGGTAGGGTCTTGAGATGGCTGCGGAGATAAGGTTATTAAAGATTTGCGTAGTTAATATATATCTTAGGACAAAAGGTACAGCAACAGGCTATTTAAAAAAAAACAATTTTGTTTCTAGCCAGTTTCAATTGAATTAGTATACTGAACTGGACGGTAGGGAAGGAATATTAATACGCAAAATGACATTCATTCAGGATATTTTTTTTGCTGATAAAGCATTATTATTGCTAAACTGCTTGAGTCGTCTTCCGAGCCACTGAGGCCGTTATTTCTTGGTATTAACTGATTTACTACTGTACACGGGCTTATGTCAAGTATACAATAGTTTTCTCTAATTAATCATTGCGATGTAATGTGTTTCAGACTATACAGCGTGTGTTTAATATGACAGATTTATTATTATCATTATTGTTTGTTAAAACAACAAAAAAACTCACCATAATCCTGGAGGTGAACGCACTATTGACCGATATACCCTCGACGAGCGTCTCGCCAACTTCCGAGGGTATATCTCTAAAGTTGGGTGTCACTTTGCACAACTTCTCGCATATGTATGATTGTACGACCGTCATCCGATTGGTGGTGAGTGTGCCCGTTTTGTCTGAACAGATCGCGGTTGCGTTGCCCATCGTCTCGCACGCGTCCAAATGCCGCACCAGATTATTGTCTTTCATCATTTTCTGTAACAATGTACACTTAATAAGTACTGGACTTTGATTTAATATTTTTGTTTTTTTTACACGTACGCTCTTTCGCACGCGGGAAAGAGTGTGCATGTAAATGTACAAAGAGAACATGAAAGAGAGAGCGCGCCATTCGCACAATCCCACGTACTACAATCGTGCGTACTTTCGCGCGTAATTATATTAATATAATAATATCTCTGAAAAATGGCGCCCATCTGACCATGAAACAAATACTTAAATACAGATTTAATGTTAATTTATGAATTTTAAATGTGTATATGGGAGAATAACAGCAAAATAAAAAAATGAATACACGGGTGACACGCGCGAAAAAGTGTACGCAAAAACAGATACAACCGATTTTACTTCGTTAAATCGGGCGCACTCCTGGTTACGCATGAACGAAAATGTCGTGTAAAGGCAGCAAATGTGACTATGACACCCCATTGCGCCTATATTAAGTAACAAAAATAAAGAACAGTTAACTTAAATTAATGGGACAACAGCCTTTATAATAACTAAGCTATAATATAATTTTTTATATGCTATTATACAAATAATATAAGTAAAGTCGAAAACTGCATTGGATACATTATCCCTTCTCTCTACTTTTGTGTATAATGTTTCTTACACGATAGACACATTAATTAAACTATATGTATCTCATTCTCACCTTAACGGAGTAAGCCAGAGAGAGTGTGACAGCAAGAGGTAGACCTTCAGGTACGGCGACCACCAACACGGTGACACCAATGATAAGATGTTTGACGAGATTATTAACGTATACTGCGCTCCATTTCTTTCCTTGAGTGACGAAGGTATGCACGCAGAATTGGATGACCAGGATGATGACAGTGAGAACGGCGATAGTGGAACCGGCGTATCCGATCTGTTGAATATAATAAATAATAATAATAACCCTGGACAATTCACACAACATCATTTAGTCTCAAGCTGAGCAGAGCTTGTGGGTAGTAGGCAACTGTTATAATTACTTAAACAAAATCAGTTCTCTCTTTAAAATATTAGTATTAGTATCGAGATCTTGATTGACAAATAATCAGGAAATCCACGAACTGGTAAGATTGAAGTATTCAAAATTTAGACTGATTTAGTAATTATGCCACTGCGAATATATATATTTTTATAAATACATTATAGAAACATTTCTGGAGTCGATATAGTATAGTACTTATTGTACTAGACCCGTCGGGGACAAGAATTCTTAGGAACGATGGTCTACCATTGCTCCTAAGAAGCTTGGAAAGGTCGTTGGTTGCGCGGTATGGTGTGGTTGAGGTCGTCGTCTTCGTCGGCGAGGACGGTGTCGTTGGAAGGTTTGCTGTCGTTATGAGGTTGTCGGGATTAATAAGAATGTGCCTCGGGCAGCGATCGGGGTCAGGATAGAGTGACTGGCTGGCAGATTGGCGACCGTACCTGTATAGCTAACTTGGTGAGCTTGGCCTGCAGTACCGACTTCTCTTTCTTGTGTCCCGTCTCGGCGGCGGGCTTGTCAGCCGGCGGGGCGGGCACGTGGTTATCGTCAGGACGCGCGTGGTTTGCGCCGTGGCTGTTGCCCGACGCTGGCAGTGTTGCGTCCTCGTCACCTACACCACCAATGTACGCGTCAATGGATTGTTAACACGTATATATTGCTTGGTACGGGTTCCGAATCTTTTATATTGGCGGTTATAAGTAAAAAATCTTGAATTCTCTTTGAATTAAAAGTAATATTGGATATTTATTGCTATTGAATTAAATGTATGTTCTTTTATACAGTATTGTTGTATGTAGGTTAAACTGTATACTATTAATTTTTTGATAAAAAAACCCAAAAAAAGTTTTACAACGAATGTTTTAACAAATAAAATTGATATATATACTTTAAATAAAAAAAAAAATATATATATATAATATTCAAAATTATGTGTCAATAAACAACATTTAATTCATATTGAAATACACTTTTACTAATTTAATGAAACTTCTTTCCATACCAAACAATATTTATGTATAGTCAAAATTATTACACTTCCGGACAAATTTATTATAATATTAAAAATTATATAACAAGTAGGTATAGAGGTGCGTAAGTATTTTAAAACAATACTGTGAATTTAGAATATAAATATATAATTACAATAAGATTTTTAGTAAATATTATTACTCGGCTATTTTCGTATTATTTCAAATGAAATAAATATAAAGTACTTAGATTAATCTACAATGATACGATTGGATTCTATGTATAAAAAAAATCTAAAATGCATCAAACTATGGTATGAGAATGGTGTTAGTCAATTTTACCATTAATACTAACGTTAGAAATCCAATACTAAGTGTTGTTTTTCAAAAGATCATAAACAACTATATAACTGTACCGGGTAAGGGACCATCCACAAATTACGTCGTAGAAATGGGGGATAAAACGGGTTAGGAAGAGGGGGGGGGGGGGGGTCGATATAGAGTGAAGTTAAATTTCTTATTACAATATTTCAGAGATGGGAAATCCTGTTAGGTTTTACCTTTTTTTTACACTAATTTGCGACTCCTCAACTATAACAAGGGGTGTTAAACATCAGTCTCATTCAAATCGTAGGTGCGACGTAATATAAATATGGATGACCCCTAAAATAAGACTATAATATGTTAAAGGTTTTTTTTTATTGAGTCAACGAGCTCGGCGTACACTTAAGGACAGATTCATAATCCCACCACAATAAAGCAAAGCTACAATTTTAAGCACCAACATTACCCAATAAAACGATATACAGGCTGACTTTTTTCCAGTTCGGAGAAAATTAGGGCATACCTTATGCTATACGTAGTCAAACAAGAATTACAATAAATACAAAAATATTTGAATATATCCTGAAAATACTATAAAAAAATGTTCACCATCCAGGAGATGTGCACGTAAGCCACCTGGATGGTGAACATATCTATACTGATATACCTGTATATTTTGTACAATTCTCAAAAAATATTTATTTCTCTAATAATTCTAATAAAAACTAATTCTAAATACTGTATAAATAATGAAATAACCTTTAGACAAATCAATTAAAAAATATACACATAAAGCATGTTGCTTTCATGTACTTTTTAATTACATATTATTTTTATGCCATATTTTGTTCCGTACGGTAAGCAGTTATCCGGTATATAAAACGTATTTAGGTTGTAATGGAAACAGTTCTATATCAATCCGAAACCCAGGGCTAGTATTCATTAAACTGAATAATTTTCCACTAGTAGAAATATGAAACAATTTTTTGTAGCTTTCATTAAAATCGAACGGTCTTGTTTATCAATTTCATATGTGCAATAAATTATTTCATAGTTTAACTGCGAGGCTTTGAGAGCACCGCTGGATTTCAGATTGTTACGTTATTTTCATTACACCCTGTATAATATTCTGGCCCTGAGTGTACGCAGGGTGTTCATAAGCGGGGACATAGCAAAAGGGACTACTTACCGGACAAACTCTTGCGTTGGGTTCCTTTTCGTTGCTGCTTTTTAGCTTCTAATTTCATCAATTTCCCATATCCGTTGCGAGTGTATTCAATGATATATCATACAAGCATACACATTTATGGCAACGAGTTCATTTTTTTACATCATGCAGTCAACACGACAGTTACACGATGCAGTATCAATGTGTATGTTTTTATTTAGTATATATATTTATTTATTTATTTTCATCGGCGACATGGGTGTGGGCGTGCAGCAGGCCGGGGTCGGGGGTGGAGAAAAAAAATTTGGATGTCATTGAACGGATCACACTATGGTGGCACTAACTCTATGGAAATTAATGTCGTAACTCATTCAAGCATTTGTGACATTAAATATATTCATATCGTTTATTTATTCGCCACAAGTGCTTGAATGCGGCATCTAAAATTGCATTTACAATGGTTGCTTTTAAGGGTTTGTTTTTAAAAAACATGTTTATGATTTAAATCGGTGAGATTATTTGTTTTATTGATGTAGGTACATAGAAATAATAATATAATAATTCAAAATTAACATCATGCTTCCCACAAGACAACTCAGGCTATTAGTCAAACACACTGTACGGACAACATTAAACAATTACAATATGTAATAAATTTGCAACTATAACCTTACAAAACACATATTTGGTCGTCATAAAATACCATCAATAAATAAAATAATCCCATATTGTGGAAGAAATTGATAAAAAAATGATAGTTTAACTGCATTTAAATTCAAAGATATAAGATATTTTATGAATTAAAAAAATAATTGTAGAAATAGACAATTTTTATCGAATCTCTTCCATTATATAATATGTTTAAATGTCAAGGGAGTGCGGTGAACAAGGGTGGATCGTACAGGAGATTTACTTCACTGTGGATACACTAAAATATGCAATAAAGCATAAACCTTACACTATGCTCATTTAGTGTATGAAAAAAAAGATGGGACACTTTTTTTTAATATAATATAACCATGAAGATTACAGATTAAATATAAAAAGTAAAAAGTGATTCGTGATCTGTTACCTTCAGAGTTATATTTTAATATTTTATATTACACTACTATTTTACATGTTGACTTTTCTATAAGTCTATGGTTTTCTCTATGGCTAAATGAACAGAGTGTTATGACAATGCTAAACTATATTTTGCAAATATCACTATTAGGGAAGCTCGATCTGATGATTTTGAAGCTATTGATGTGATGATTAATTATTTTATGGCATACATGTTCATATTACACTGTGTCTATGAGAAAATAATACACTGAGTACTTACATTATATGTTTGTTTCTATATAATAGTAGAATTATTAGAACGAAATACGGTAACGGTATCATCACGTATATATATTCTATATATATAAAAATAACTTGACGTTTATTAGTCACTAAGACACGAGACCGATTTGTTTAAGAAATATTTTGTAACGCATTTGTTCTATTAGAAGTAAGCTAGAGTTTTGGTTTGAAATGTAGTATAATATAATATAATTTTATCTGTGGTTTAAAATTATCTGTACTACTTAAGTTACGGATGGTAACAAAGGGAATGTGATGGTAATACAGAGACAATTAAAGTTTTATAAATCAGAACGAATACTTTCACTTTACTTCATCTAAAACCATCAAAATAGGACATAAATATATATTGAAAAGAGGAATTTCTTTTTAATGTATACCGAAATCTTTATTATATTTTATACGTATAATTCACATTTAAACAAAATTTAAATACTTATTATTAAAAAATAATGCGTAACACAAATGTATGCCAATAACTACCACCATACTTTAAACATAAAGCCCATCGCACACTGCGCAACAGCCAGTCGGCAAACGAAACCAACAATCATTACAATTCAAACAAAACCAGTTTCTAAGGGAACATCTCCATTACGATATCGTTTCGTTAGACCTCATTTAAACTAAAATTTAACACAAAAAAAAAAGTACTTGATTTCGTTGTTGTTTAAATTAGTACACCCACATAAATTATCCCAGTTGGAGTAGTACCAATAATATTAATCTCGTACTAGTTTCCACAATTTATTTCAGTAGCTTGAACTACAAATAGTACTTAATCTATATTTCTTATGCTATTTGAGTATTGCAGGTTCGAATCTAGAAATTGAGATTAAAAAATTTAAACGAAAATTTCTTAAGTAGGTCTGTATTTACATGCAATAAATGTATACTGAATATCTCCTACACGAACAAATAAAGTCAGGCACGTTTGTCACTAATCTGCTAGATTAGAATTCTCATTCTTCCTCTACTTCTCCAATTTGTATTTAGTGTTATCATGTTAATACTTTTTTATATAAAAGTATTACAAAAATATACCTACCTTTTTTAAGTATGTATATTAGAACTGCTGTGTTCTTTATTCTTTTCATCTACTCTCATCTTTATGTTAATGAGGCCGAACGTAAAAGCATTAAAATATCGCAAGAATTAAAGCTACACGGGATATACACACTCGATTGTTCCTCTATCGACAATCCGTTGCCAAGCAAATTGGGACCTTGCATGCTATACACAGCTTTGTAATTGCGTTCAAACCACAAACACATCGTGCCGGTATCTTGTCGGCACGATAATTGAACTTAATCAACTTAACTAACAACACTATGCAGTATATATATCAAGTCGATCACTCAATTTGACAATGACAACGACGATATTTGGCGAACAACGTCACAACTCGCGTTGTGTATCTTAATACAATTTGAATTCTATATCTAAGCACATAGGACTTAATTTCAGTTAACACAATATACTATAGGGATCTGTGGTGATTTTACACACGTTTCAATATTGTTTTATAAATTGGGTCCACTAATACGCAAGCAACTAAACTATTTCACTCCCGCTGTCGCTGTCGAATCGCGCAGTGTACGATCGGGCACAACACTACAAAATCATCAGAAAGCACCAACTAAGAGGACAACTTGCTACCGCAACCAATTGTTATTATAACAGGCACTGACCTTTCTTCATTTGTTTAATTTCCTTCTCCTGCTTGTCCACAGCGGCACCGAGTAGCGTGAAGATGATGCCAGCTTGTGAATTCACACCCACAGCTGTCACAAGCATTTTGCCAGAGCCTGGAACATTTAACATAGTATTTAATGATAGAATATATTACATATGCATGTTTATGTACAAATAGTATGAATGTGTGGGGTCACAGAAAATTATAGAAGAATGATACTAGTCATTAATAATTGAGTTTGTGAAGTAATAGATTATCTCGTTATTCGGAGAAATGAAGACATTATATAGAAGGCGTAGGGTAGGTGTAGATACAGATGACATATGAAGAGAACTATCAGAATGGATGATATCTAAAAGTGGGAGATAAATATATTCCTTCACATGAGAGGAAATTAAAGGACGAAATATAATATAGGGAATTTATAATTTACATTTATATCATCACTTATATACTGTTTTAAATTTGACCCGGTCATTATTTATAGGTATAAATTTAGTAAATCACGGGATCTAACCGGCGGAACTATCGGGAACGAAATAAAAAAACGTGGTAAGATCCTATGATTTACTCTAATTATACGTATTATGTCACTATTTAAAATTTATCAAATTCCTCACAATACTAATACAGCGCAGATGATGTCGAGGGCATTAGCAGTACATAATATATTAATCCTATATGATATTTGCCATCGTTAATGCCTATTCTGATGTCAGTTTTATTTTAATACTTTTTATCTATTTTTGTTGACCTTACCAACGTAAGATTGTTTTTAAAAACATGTGATAAAGTAATTTTTTTTATACACACATCTTTGCAAGTGAAATTGAACTTTGTGGCGTACACAATATCTACCTTCCATAACGTGTGTACCAGATAGCACCATGGGATCAAAAGATTCACCCTTCTTGACATGGTCTGACTCGCCCGTCAGCGATGACTCGTCGATCTGTAACAAGCAGCTACTTTAGCATCCTTTGATTAAAACAACCTCTTTACTGTGAAATAAGGGTGAACTAATTCAAAATCAAACTTAAAAATAATTACTATAGGACAATTAATGCACTTATGCATGTTAAGACTTTTGTATTATTATTTTTTTCCCTACAGTCCAGTTCTGACTATATATTCAATTAAAAATAGAAAGAAATAATCTTTATTCAAATAAACTTAATAATATATCACATATACAGATTTCAATTGTCACATAATATTATTTTGACTCTACCACTCATTAGAAGAGCAGACCCTCAGTTGAGAAGAATTGGTAAGAAACTCAACTAAAGTTTTAGAGTCATTTAACATAGCCGCTTTACTTCCAATGATCGTGGGTTGGATCCCTCGCACGCTACAAACATTTGTATTTATCTGTATGATTGTTTGTATTGGTATAGTTATTTTCTATGTTTATTATATATGTATAAAAAAACGTATAGATATGTTTTTTTAATAAGGAGTAACTTAGGCTACTTTTATGTTAGAAAAATTCTTTAATAAACTTTTTTGTTAAATTCCACGCGGACGATGTCGCGAGTACAGCTAGTTGATAATATAACTCAACTGCTATCAGCTGATACTATGTAATTGCATTGAGTACCTCTTTTTTTAATGTAGTTGAAAATACAACTCAACTGCTATCAGCTGATACTATGCAATGGCATTGGCAATATACATACAATGGCAGAACATACAAACATACATATCGTATGTTTACAACATGTCTCCACAAATAGTGATACAACAAATGTGATAGATAAAAATGCCGCATTCTGCTATATTATCAGCGACTTACAATGTAATCGGATATTATATTTATTTGTTGTATGACATAATATTGTATTGACGTAAAGAAATGTCAGATAAAGCGATTTCTATCTTGAAATAAAACAATTATAGGACTAACGCGGAAGTAAACACAAATAGAGTAATCTTAGACTGATTACATCTTCCGAAGGGCATTATGTACCTGTGGTTTACAATCCGATTTAGACACTTAAAGGTCGTGAGTTTGAATTTGCTGCCATAAAATTTTCTTGTAAGTGAATTTGAAATTACCTGACAAATATTTCTGTCAATTTTACAATTACTTACTCTCTCATGATACAAAAATTGATAACAAAATATTCCGAGAGAAGACGATTAAAAATGGGATGTGCTAAATAATATTTTAACAAAGCAATAATTTCACACAGGTTAGTTAAGGAAAAAATAGCCTATATTGTTTGACGGTCTCAATGGTTTAGGGGTTCAGTACACTGCCTTATTTCCGATGTTCGTGGGTTCGATTCCTCGCACAAACAGTTGTATTCATGAGTATGATTGTTTGTATCGTTCTTTGTGTTTTCTATTTATATTATGTATGTATTTTTAGGTGTCTAATACCCATAACACAAATTCTGATTAACTTGGGCCTAGATGGCTCTGTGTAAATTGTCCTGAGATATTTTATTAATATGATAAACACGAAAGTTTGTGAGTATTGATGGATGTTTGTTACACTTTCACGCAAAAAATACGAAACTTTACAGTAATATAGCTTATACATAAGAATAATATAGAAGCTATAAATTTCCTGCGGGTGAAACCGCGGGCACAATTAGTTATAGTATAAAAAAAGTCGTTAGAAAAATTGCAGGAAAAACATTGAACTTCAAATACAGATGGCATAAACACAGCTGTGTTGTATTATTATATATATATGTTACCCAATATGCGAATATCGACCCGATTACAGTAATCTTCGATATCTACATACCTGTGACGCACGTTGTATCAATAAATCTGATAAAAAGTAAATATATAAATTATTGCTACCTGTTAACAGCTGATACCGCGATATTTGTAAAGATAACTATTATTAAAACTGTTTGACGGTATTCGTTTTTTAACATTGCACTTTGTTTAGAAAATTGTTACTATAGTAATATTACGGAGTAAGACAAAAAATAGTGAGAGAGACGAGAGAGGAGAGAGAGAGAGAGAGAGAGAGAAAGAGCGGATTTTGTTACGAGGAACATGAACTCTGGAACTATTGCACCGATTTGAGAAATACTTGCTCGTATTTATTTCTTAATGAGCGTTCAGTCAAAGGACTGAAACTAATTAGTGAAAAAATCACTTCACAATTAAATCTAACACTGAAATATTCAATTGAACTTTTTTGAAATCGGCTAGCAAGATCTGAACGGATTTCATATCACTTTTCAACAATCAACACACACTCTATGAGTTCTATTGATTCGTTTATCAAAATGTAGGCAGCCGTATAAAACTTTGACACAGTAATGTCACCACAAGGCTTTTTATCATTTGATTTCTGTTGTAGATAAATAACAATGACCACGATCTAGACCGACATTTCAGGCCAGTTTACTGAATAGAATAGAAATGTCGATGGTAAACCATAAACAATGTATAATTATAGAAACAACAGTAAATTATCTAAGCTAGAAATTGAAAGAAATAGCGATTGAAAGATTTTACAAATATAATCGTTATATGTTTAGACATTTTGATTTTATGCGAATAATACAAACTACTAAAATTAAAAATAATCAGATAAGAGATGAATATGATATACTGCGCCGATCCCACACAATGGTGATTAAGACAAGGCAATGACAATGAAGATTTAATCTCTGCATTGAAGAGAATGTTTGTAAGATTTTCTGTCGGTTTGTTTGCACAAATCTTAGACACGACTTAAGCAATTTGGGTGCGATTTTCATTAATGTATTGTACTTCACTTCAAATTTTGTGTTTGTTTTATAATTATATTTGGTGTAGTCCTAGAATAAAAAAAAGTGACTATTCAAAAGTGCTTATATTAAGTTTATTTTAATAAAGATTATTTCTATTCAATTCTATTTGTCCCATTAGTTTACAAACAATGAAGTTAGACTAGACTGCCTTGGGACTGAGACTGTGTACTCTAGTTCGAGGTAGTTTACAAAACGGCTATAGTATATGTTGATAATAGTAACAAAGTAAGTTACCTTTAGGTCGTTACTCTGTAGCAGAAGTCCATCAGCGGGCAGCAAGTCACCATATTTGATTTGACAGATATCGCCTACGACTATGTCGCTGATCGCCACCTGTTTCACCTCGCTCCCCCGGATTACTGCGAACTTGTGTTCGCCCTCTATCCGAGATTGAAGACCTCTGAAAACAGCAACAAGAAATTTTAAAAATCGAAGACCTTCATTTTAATTGTAATAATACCCCTGGATAATTCACACAACGTCATCTAGTCCAAGTAGAGCTAGTGTTATGGGTACTAAACAATTGGTATAATTACATAGATATATTTTATTGTAAATACATACGTAATATACTATAAAACACCCAGATTGATACATACAATCATACTCATGAATACAAATGTTTGTGCCGTACGAGGAATCGAACCCGCAACTAAGCAAAGTGGTGTGCTATACCGCTAGTCCACTGAGGGTGTATTTTGTTATTTAATGGCAAACAAGCTGACAACCCATCTGATTCCTATACACATGAACCGTACTACGGATATAACGTTACACGTGATACCATTCATGCATTCCAAAGCACTAAGATATCATGACTTTTAGCCTGTAATTTCACTACTTACTACAGAAAGCTACAATGTAAGCTTCTTAGCGGCTGAAATAAGTGAGACTGAGGTACATATATATGCAGGCGACTCCACACTCCACATCTGGTAAACGAATACTACCATACTGCTTAACACTAAGTGGTAACTGTCGCTAATATAGATAGATAGGTAGATAAATTCTTTATTCCCAATTATTATAGACACATAACTTATATGAAATACAGAAAAATACCTGAATTAATAAAAGAAATGTAGGTGACTTTACATACATGTACATCATATGATACTCTGCCATTACTGAGTAAAAAGGGCCTACCATGACAAGGTATCGAAACCTGTAATTTCACTCTATTATCTCAACTTTTTCATCGGAACCTAGCTTATAAAGCAAATCGCTTGGTGGCAGGAATCTGAATTATTCATAGAAATTTATTCAAATTCTTCTTCAGCCAGATACAATAACAACCTTATCATGAGATGATGATAACGATAGTTGGCTAAATTATTTTCATCATCAGTTCAGCATGTATCATTATCAACTGTTGGATTAAAGCCTTCCCAATTGGCTTCAACCTTGTGCAATCGTTCTCTCTCTGTAGTGGTAGTTGGATTACCACATACTGGGACCAAATATAAAGCTAATACGCAATCATATTTATAAATGAGGTCGATTGTAATGTGCTATAGTAGATATATAATGTAATGGTCCGTTTACAAACCTGAATTGCCTCTCTTTCGTGTAATCGTTGAACGCTGTAACTATAACGACGACTATGACAGAAATTAAGATCGCCAGACCCTCGATCCATTGATAGTGGCCTTCCTCTTCGTCCAGATGAGCTGAAACATACAATTCCACACTTACTCTAATGTACATACGATATAATTTTGCATACAACTGGACAATAAAACATCACAAATTCTACGCAAGGAATTATGTCATAATTGCTATACTCATACTGCGTATTTTGAAACACTGTAAGTGTTGTATTGGGAGCAAATATTTTTTTAATCAGGAAGTCCATTACACCAAGTACTGATGTAATGTTTGTTTGTTTAATTCTACCACCATTAGTGTATTGCTACCAGCAGTTATCACGCAGTTAATCATTAAAAATATGAATTGAATAAAAATTAAAAAGAAAACAGATGTCTATTGCTTAATATTAATGGGTTTAGAGGTAAAACACGTGTCATAACAATACATATAGCGGTGGTGGTATTAAACAAATAAAAACTAATTTGTTACAATAATAAGCGAATTGCCAGGGTACTATAGGACAAGGAACATTTCTTCTAAAATATTAAAGTGTGCCACTAAATGAATCACTCAGTGAGCTTAACACTAAACCAAGTACAATTGAAATATTATTTCACATTGTACTAATTTAACCACATCAAGAAATCAAGGAGATCATAAAGATATTCAGGGTCAATTAAGACTGTAGATCCGGTGTTTCTGCAGTGTGATAAATATATTAGTTAATTGGGCACCCAGTTAGTCGTCATTATTAATTCAATACCCTGATACTGGACGACGTCAATAGTTCTCTCTCGGTCGTGAACGGTTATAGCAATGGGTGTGAAGGGGACAACAGGATATTAAGCCACCATATCAGGCAGCACACTCGGTGATAATAGCAGATATTGAATTTAAGCGACATGATCATCATATTTGTGGGTGTTATTCTTTAGATGCATTTTGTCGCCTTCGTTTTGAAAATTCAGAAATCCTTGAAAACTGTCTAATAAGTATAAAACATACTCATTGCTTAGCCATTTCTATTGTGGCAGTAGTAATGTATTCATTTTTTTTTTCAATCTTTGTATGCTACTGTTATTTTCAGTAAGAAAAGTATTATAGATTTAGCTATAATATTTCTACACCAAGTCCTTAAGTATATAGGCACAGAGAAAGAACATGTAACAATGTATTAAGCAAAGAGCTGAATAGTGTAGTATTAATATAGCGCAATTTAATAATTTATTTAAAAACTATATATAAATATATACATTTAAGTTGAACCAGATTTCAGTAGTTTTGTTTCGTAGTTGTAGGAGTTTATACTGGTCATACATCCCGATGCCAGATTTTATACACTTATATAAGTAGTTTAAATCCTAATCACAATAATACAAATTAATCCAAGAATTTCTTTGGATAGTAATTCGTTATATGCGGTCTAATACGTAGTACATTAAGTTCGGTTCATTGAATCATTATGAACCTATTGGACTGTAGTTCAATCCTGAATACAATATACACACAGATATTTTACCTAATATTACAACAGACAAAGAAAATTAGCTGCTGATTGTCGATTCGAAATTTGAAAAACATATTTTTGTGATTGCTAAAATTGAAGCGGATCGTTCACTCATTCAATTACTGTCATAAACACATGGCGTCGTGGATTGATAAGATCGAGATGAAGGAGTCTACGAAGGCGGTAGCTTAATCAATTAGTGAAGGCTGTGTTCCCGGTGGCAAATGGAACACAGATATAAAATAGAGATAAAAAGTCCCACCCGCTTTAATCTTATTTTAAATGTAAAATATATTGTATTCTTAATGAAAATGTTAAGTATTGGATAACAAATATAAAATAAACTCTTTCATAATTTAGAATGAGGTGAACTAACGTAATATTAAAATTATAAAAAGTACCAGACTAAAATCTATTGGTAAAATTATCATAATTATTTTTGTTACTAGCTTTTAGTCCAGTACTTTATTATAAATTTCATATTATCATATGCGGGTTAAGTACTATTAAAAATTAAATAGATGTGTTATATTTATAGTATCAATTATTCCTTTCATTAATATTGGTACAGACAGGAAAATGCAAACAATATGATTACACATTATAAATAGCTATATAATTTAAATCAGTACCAATTACTCACATATAAACAAAATAATAACATTATATTAGTTAACTATAATATAATGACGTTTCAGTTACACTGACATACTGACTGACATTAATTAACAAAGACTATGAAATTTGTCAAAATTGTAACACAATTAATAGAATTTATAATGATTACACAATTTTAACAAATGGTGATTATAAAAAACATATAGATAAGACTAGCATACAAGCAGACAGGAAAGACAGACCTACAAAGGACACACTTGTGGATGGTCAGGGTGCATTAACTACTGAGACGGAGTAAACTGTACTCAAGGCTCGTATGCAACTAAACCAACAACATGCCGTATAACCATGTTTCCATTGATCCATTGCATAATGATACGTCACACATTCTGCTAATTAATATGTTTGAAGCTATGAACTATACTAACTGAACTACACAAACGAAACAAATATAAAACATTTATACTACAGAAGACGTTGCCTCATTGATTTAGTTGCAAATTGTATTGTATTCATATGGTTTTAATACTTGAAATCAATGGCAATGACTTGAGTACATTAGTGGTAGACGAGCCTTATCATATCATTAATGTTATATATTCTTACCAGGATCGTCAGATACTTCCAAATTGTTATTGAAAAAGAAAATATATATAATTAATCTTTTATGCGATGGCTACGAGAAATGATGAGTATTTAGTTTGATGGCCATCGATAAATTTATTAGAGAGAGTACTTACTCTACATGATTAATTTCCCTGACCAAACATATCTAATTAATAATTGGTAACAATCGGAATCTCGTACCGAAGGGACATATAGGCTTCAAATAAACACTTGCACTTACTTTAATTTATATTTAATTACCGTTATCGGTATTATTAAACTTTATTTGTATAAATTTTAATAGATTTCGGTGTTTACACGTAATCTATAATACTAACATATTTAACCTTGTATTGAAGTAACTTTGTTTAAAAGTACAAACTACATTCAGATCTTTAACGTATTTGATACCAGTTTGCAAGACTATAAAACAGGATAATCAACTCAAATTCACTCCCTGTATACATGTACATCATGACTAAATTTGGTCCGGGTAAGGTTACAGAATTACAGCGCAGATGTTCCGCTGGCTGGACATTAATCTTTGGACGTGAGCTGCACACACGAATTGCGGAAAAAACATCAAAAGCTCGCTCTGAATAATTCAGAGTACACGTTTGATACACGAAACTTTGAGAAGATCGTGTATTTTCATGCAAATTTAATAATCTATTGTAATTTATTCTAATACTTTGATGGCACGTAAGTCCTACATATGATTTGAGAGCAGTGAATAATTCATTTACTACAAGTAAAACTTACCAGGATCATTTGCGTCATCGGACGGCTTGTAGAAACTCAAACCTAGGGAGACGACGGCGGCCACCTCTAAGATGATCAGTGTTACGTCCTGCAGTGCCTCCCATACTAACGTCAAGAAGGTTTTGGGAGGTTTCGGCGGGATAAGGTTTGAACCGAACACCTCGCGCCGATGCTGCAGGTCCGCTTTCGAACCGCTAAGACCTGTAGACAAAAAAAAGAAAGCATTGCAATAAATCTGTCAATAAGTGGATTTAAATAGGTTGATGCTTACTAGTTCAGTTGGGCAGTTTTTTTATATTTCATTACTACACGCTTTATTTTACTTTGATTTGTAAAGTTACTTTTTCCGATCAAGAATTTGTTTATTTATTGTAACATATATTTATTTTTTATTACATAGTGATAGAGGCAACCTGCAAACAGTTGTATTCACGTAACTTAAAACAATAAAAGTGTGAAGAGCATTTCTGGAGCCTAGAATCTAAGACATCCGTTACTATAATTATACAAACAAACACTAAAACTACTTTAAATGCGTTTGAAGTTCTTTCCCCCCGGTAGCTCTAAGCTACCTTTGAAGCGTTTCTAATTTTATACTCTCTATATTAGTTTATTTATAAATAGACCTTCTATAACGTGAGATAAAATTCTCTTCGGCTTGGACACGAAACTTGATTGCAGAAACCGCTCCAGTAGGCACGTAATCGTAAAGTTTATGCGAGAGCAGTTTCACTGGGACGTATTCCTTTTCATTCATAATAGACGAGCATGAACGGTTTAGTGATAAAATAACACGCACACCCATCCGTGAAACGAAACGTGTCGCGTAATAAAATTTAAGTGTAACAATTAAATAACTATCTAGCGACTAGGACGCTAGCATTCATTCAGTAACGTTCTCTTATGGCTGGTTGTTAAATAATTTGTTAATAATATAACTACCATGATTGCTGTGTATAGATTTATAATAATGAAATAAATAGTGAAGTAAATATTCCTATATATTGTGATTTTAATCAATCTTGAAGTCAAAGCGGGTAACAATGAAACATCTGTAGGTGTCTTTTCTATTTACAATAAAATAAAGAAATAAAAAGTAAAGTAATAATATATTAATTTATTTGTAAATGCTGCTGTCCTAGTATAAAAAAACTAAGGCGTGGCTCTTAATACTTAAGTTTGGACATATCATGGAAATTGCTAGTTAAATTCCAAGTTATGTTGGATTTACTTTGGACAATAAAAAGCACTTGTTCAAGATGAGTATTAGTTTATGAGTTACTACTTGATACATTTATATTATTTTGTTTAATTAATTGTGGCGGAATTAAACAAAATAATAAAAATCCATTAAGTAGTGAAATTTATACTTCACTACTTAACGTATTTTAAGTACTACGTAGACTTTGGCAAAATAACATCTAATTCGATTAAATCTATAATCAATTAGTGATGTTTTTTTGTGCATTCTTTTACGATCAATGATGTTTCTTGTAGTAACAATAATTTAGTACCGAAGAGTGATAACGCAATGGGTGCACCAGTATTTTCTGTGAAGTGTATGGTATTATTAATCTATACATATCGATTAATATTTTCCATAGCTCTTATGTTATCTGTTTGTTTGCACACCACTTGTATAGTATACAATACGTACTTATAATAATCAGTACACGAAGCCACTACTATTTCTCCTATTTTGATGTTACTACGTATAAAAAAAGAAAATTTCCTTGAAATTGCAAAACGTCGAACACTATCCAGGAACCCCAATAATATATTATACAGTTTTCAACACATGTGCTTTGGTATTTTGTAGTTTACTACATTAAAACTAATATAAACATAGGTCATATTTGAAATTTATTGTTACATCAGGCGTAAAGCTTTTCTCCAGTTATATGCGTACATGTAAACACATTTTCGTATATTGTATGATCATTGGAATGAACTGTGGAAGATTTTTGAAAGGAATGTGAAATATCTCTCAATACAATTCATACTAACATTGGAAAGTATATGAATCAGTTCTGTAATACAATTCTTTGAATACGACTTATAGATTTGAAGTAACTATTGTTATTTACATAAATAAACTGATAGTAGCTAATGCTGTTTCACTTCTGGGTACAGGTCTAAAAAGGTCATTAGTTGATCCGGGAAATTTTGAACTAGTAGTTTCAGATATTATCCCCATACATATATACAAACAATATTCACCTAATACTATTATAATTAATTATAAATCTACGTAACATCTGTATAACATACACAACAAGATATTTGAGTAATCAATATGAATAATTCAGTAATGACTTTGTAGATGATTTAATTTAATGAAGAAAAAGCATCAATTCACCCAACCGAGGAAGAAGTTCTGCATGCAACATTTACTGAATTGTATCAGATAATTTGTTGAATAAATTCGTTGTTATGCCGGAAGGGACTCAAAGAAAGAAAGGGGGAGAAACTCGTTTTGAGATCTTAAATTTCTTATAAACATAAGGAAATATTCGCTACGAGAAGATTAAATCTATAAAATTGTATGGGTAGGGGAACAGCTATTGTATTATTTCTGGATATAGATGGCAGACGATGCCGTTTTATGCTATGGTAGGGGTCCAATTACGTTGTTTTCAGACAATTCAATCGTTGATTAAAGGAAAGCTGTTTTAATTTGATGGTTCTCACTACCATATATTAACGGCCTCAGTGGTTTATCGAATTAGCACACCGCTTTACTTCCGATGGTCGCGGGTACGATTCCTCGCAGGGCACTAACATTTCTATTCATGCGTGTTATTGTTTGTATTGGTCTATGTATATTATGTATGTATTTATAAAAAATATATATCAGTTGTACTGACAACAACATATGCAAGCTCTGCTAAATTGTTGTGTGTATTATAAAAAAAAACATAGCCACCTAACAAATCATAACATAACTACCTAAACAAGTTTCTTAGTGGAAGAAATAGCGTCTGTAAAGTTCAAAATTACTTAACGGGATTAAATAAAACTGTTCTAATTTGGTAATGTTCAGTAAGTTTCAGATTCAATCGGTTAAATATAACGCATCTGTACCGCTATTTGCAGCTATATGCAGATATATAATTAATATTAGCAGTTCTACCTCAAAGACGATTTCATTCGGCATTTCATTCCTGAAGTCATCTTTATATTCTTTTAAAACGTTATGAAAACTAAACCGAATAAGACATTTATATATAACTAGCTGCTCCCGCGACTTCGTCCGCGTGAAATTTAACTTCATTTTTCTAAAATAAAAGTAGCCTAAGTTACTCCTTATTACATTAGCTACCTGTCAAAAAAAGTACTGTTAAAATCGGTCCAGGTCCAAACAGACAGACAAAGAGACAAAAATTGTAAAAAATATTATTTTGGTGTATTTATATTCATATGCATGTAGTAAAAACCGGTTATTTCAATATTACAAACAGACACTCCAATTTTATTTATATGTACAGATGGCAGTTAGTTTTTTTTAATATAAAATATGGACTTAATATGTAGCTTGTAAGTATAAGAGATACAAGAGTATAAAAAAGGCGCACAACAATTATTCTATAAATACCGATAGTAATCGATAACATAACGTGGATGGCACCCAGATATTCTAGTTAGCAATGAAATGTTCTTTAAGAGTCTGTTTAATTAGTACACAGCGCCTACAATAGAAAGCAATTTCTATATGAAATTGTTGAAATGTTTTAATGAGAGAAAACACAACTTGTTAAAAATAATTAGCGATGCAAATGTATGAAGGATATAATTATTGTAATTAACTATATTAAATATATAATTATAAATTTGATATATATATTCTTTTGATATATATTTTTTTTGTAGTATTTAAAATAAATATAAATTGGAAAGCTTAATGCGATATGGCATTCTGTACAGCTTACCATAGCGTTAAAACAGAGAACGGTTGAAGGGCAGTAATGGGAAAGGCACACTTTTGGTATTTACGTAACTGATATATTTTAGTAATTACGGTTTACAGACTCCGTTGATTAAGTCTTCTCTGTTCACAAATTAAGATTAAATAATTTTATGACAGAAGATTCAAGAATGGTTTACATGTTATTTTACAGCGGAGGAGTAAAAGACAAGCAGCATGAGTGGCACCTAGTGGTAAGTGGTTACCGCAGTCTTTTGTCAAGAATCCTGTTTATAAAAGATTTCAATGTTCCGATGTTCCGATGTTCGGAAATATTACCACGGGGAGTTGATTCTCCAGTACGGTGTGCGTGGGATGTGATGATGAGTCAGTCTATTCATAAATAACACTACCTGCCCAGCACCGCGCGTTATGCTTACGTTTAGTATGATAGCGTCTCGATTTACGATTTTCTCGCACTTTGTACTTGCGATTTTTTGCTCGGATCGTTCATTCCATTAGAACTGGAACCTTACCGTTTTCTAAAATATAATAGATGATGATATAATAGTGTTCATCGCTTGCGATAACGATGTGAAGGGGCGACAGTGAAATATGAAATAGACTGAGAGTGGAGTCAGTCAGGTGGTGACAAAATTCACAAGGAAATAACTACGATCTTTTCTTTGAAGAACACCACGATTTTGCCACGATATATAATTGGGTATTCTTGTATATGTATATAGAATATTTTCTTTAAGATAAATTGCGAAAATAATTGAATTGCTCCATTTATTTACATTTACAAAATTGCAATTTGATCGATAAAAATCGATTCGTCGACATCGATTCCATAAACAATTCAGTATCTACAATGTTGTGACTAAGAATAACTCAAAATGTATTGTATACAAATGAATTTTATGCACGCGTTTTTTTATCGATTAATGTATAAACAATTTATTTTTTGGGCACCTACTCTTTACATATAAAAAACGGTTTATTGTCGATAAATCGGTGTTACGGCACTCGTGACTGAACAAACACACACGCACGACTAATGTTATCCGAGTAATAAAATTAAAATACGCACAAACAAAATCTACACCGAAATTAGTTTCGGTACAATGTTAATGGACAATTAATTGTAAATGGAGCGTTACGGTCCTAATATGTTGGGTCGTATTTACATGCGATCAGTAAGTACTTGTTACTTCTGAAGTTCCAAGATGCCTGCATATATCCTCATACAATATTGAACGTTTAAAAAACGTTTTAAATGCTAGTAGGTATATCA